AACAGTACCCAACTCATAAAATTGTTATCAAGTTTAGACACATGTAAACTATTAAATACAAGTGAGATGAGCATGCAAGGGGCTAAGAAGCCTGTTTGGTACGGAAAAGTGTTCAGTAAATGGTAGACAGTAATGTTCGGTAAATAACAAGATTTGCAAAGAACGAAAAACAGTAACGAGGTAGAGAGGGCTTGGGGCTCAGGGCAGGGCACCACGAAATGAGCGTGGTCAAGAAAGCTGCCTGGAGGAGGTGACATTTGAGCTGAGACCTAAGGGATGAAATGTCAGGCTTGCAGAGGCCTGCAGTGGGAATGAGCTAGGTGCCTTCAGGGGCTAACAGCATCCACAAAGCCAATGCACCAGGGGGAGTGCGTGTGGGGGAGTCGGCAGGAGATGGGACGTGGGAGGCGGCGCCCGGCACTCTATGAGAAGGGGAGATCACGGCGCCCCAAGTCCCCATCACTTCAAACTGGATCACAGATCCTCCCTGGCCTTTGTGCTAAGGATACTTTCTAAAACCCTCACACCAACCAAGAGAAGAGAATGGAGGGCGTGAGATGGGGATGAATTCAGATTCTCCAGGCTCTTCCCAGGGCAGGATGCACATCTGCAGTCTTCTCTGTTTTCCTAGCATTTCACTGTGCTGACGTCTAGGAACCCCTGCACTGGTCGCCCCCCCCCCCCCCCCGATCTTCTGCCAGAGGGTGATGGGCAAGGGCCTGCCGGGAAAATGGCTGGTCAGCTTCTGCCTTGGTGTACCCCGGGGAAGGGGGCAGGGGATCACCCCCACCTCCCGCCTCGTGGTTCATCATGAGGTCGGATGTAACCAGGAGACTGCTCAGCAGAGGCAAGAGACAACTGTTAACATCACCTGTGCCCCGAAGCTCCTGCAGACCTCAGGATACGGATCCTCACCTCTCTCCACCAGGGAGAAGCAGACACCTGCCCAGTCGAGAACTCCCAGCTCTCTGGACAGAGGCGTAAAGTGAGGAGGGACGGGAGAAGCTGACTCCAGGGCCTGGTTTATGGGTCAGTGGGAGAGCTGGGCGTACGACCCCTCTACTACTTTACTCCAAGGCTCCTTCTCCACCCCCTCCAGACTCAGGGGCGTCCCTGGCTCCAGTGCAGGGAGAACATCCCTCACCACAGGTGGGTGGGGAGCGTGAGAGTGACCTGGGCATGCCACTCACTCCAGCCCTCTCTCCAACTTCAAGCCACAATCGGATGGGGCCCCAAGCCAGCCCCAGCGAAGAAGTGGCTGCCAGCTAAAGGGACCATGGGGGAGATTGTGTGGACAAGGCAGACGTGTGCCACACCTAAGACAAGTGCATTTGGGAGTCGTTGAAGGAAACAGCGAGTATCTTGACCAACTACTAGAAAATAAATCTCCAGAAAAAAAATCCTACTTCCTTCCTCCTGTGCATCTACTCAGCCTGCTGGAGATGAGCACTCAGAACACGGCTGGGCCAGGCCATCCATCCCCACAGGGCCGGTTGTGCTGCGAGGGGGGGTGGACCACAGGGTCTGCTGAGGAACGGGGCAGGCAAGACCCCCGCTGTGTGTCTGGAGGAGAAGGAAGCTGTGTGTGTGTATCTCAGGAAAGGGGGCCCAGAGCCCTTGGGAAGGGGGCTGGCCGGGTGTTGAGGCCTGTTCACTCACCTCACCTCATGGCTTAGGAATGAGGGGTCAAGACACCCTTCCCTAACTGACTGGGCACAGAGTCCACCAGGCCTTGTCCCTTGGGGTCTCCTCAAGGAGGAGCTCGAGGGGCTTGAGTCAGGACCCGTGTTGGGGTTTGGAAGGACTCAGTGGGAAGTGGAAGGTCGAATGTGGGTGAGTGAAGTCTCCAGGGGCAGTGGGCTCGTGGCCCGGATGGAGGGTGGAAGGGACACAGGCTGAGAGGGTCATCCATTTGAACCTCATCATTTTAGGGTCACACAGGATGGAGTGAAGGTTAAGAGCATGAGTTCTGAGTCAGACAGACCTGCACCTGAGTCCTGTGTGACATCGGGCAAATGGCTTTACCTCTCTGAGCCTCACTTCTCTCATCGACAAAACAGGATGACCCCAGCATGACCTCCAAGGTCTGTGGGGAGGAGAGAGGAGATAACGCATTTGGTCCATAAGAGCTCACCAATATCTCCGGCTGTTGTTCATACTGACAGCAGCTCTCACCACTACAGATATCAGGAGTGACAAGAGCAGCAACAGCCCAGCCTCCTTAGTTCCAGAAGAGGCTTCCTTCCACTAGAGCAGCGGTTCTCAACTGGAGGTGATTTTGTCTTCCTGCCAGGGGACTGCTGGCATTGTCCAGAGATATTTCTGGTTGTCACAATTGGGGGGTTGCTACTGGCATCCAGGGGTTAGAAGCCACAGATGCTGCTCAATACCCTACAATGTACGGGACAGCTCCTATAACAATTATCTGGCCCCAAATGCGACAGTGCCAGGTTAAGAACCTCTGCTCTAGACCTGTGCTGTTCAGGACAGTGGCCAGCAGCTACCTGTGGCTATTGAGCACCTGAAATGCACTTGGCCACACTGAGATGTGCCGTAAGCATAAAATACACATTGAATTTCAAGGAGAATGAACAAGAAAACATAAATTGTCTCATTAATAACTTTTATACTGGGGCTGGCCCCACGGCTGAGTGGTTAAGTTCGCATGCTCGGCTTTGGTGGCCCAGGGTTTCGCCGGTTCGGATCCCAGGCACGGACCTAGCACTGCTCATCAGGCCACACTGAGGTGGGGTCCCACATAGCACAACCAGAAGGACCTACAACTAGAATATACAACTATGTCCCGGGGGGTTTTGGGGAGAAGAAGAAGAAGGAAAAAAAAAGAAGACTGGCAACAGATGTTAGCTCAGGTGCCAATCTTTAAAAAAAAGTAATTTTTAGATTGATTACATATTGAAATAATATTTTGGATAGATTGGGTTAAATGAAATATATCATTAAAATTAATTTCACCTGTTTAACTTAAAAAAAAATGTGGCTACTAGGAAATGAAAGGTTCCACGTGAGGCTCTCTCTGCGGCTTGCATTCTCCCTCTGTTGCACGGTGCTGGTCTAGACCGGGCTGCCTCTCTTGTTGGGGGAGAGTCTTAAGTGAAGTGCAGGTGGTGGCTGTGGGTCGTTGTGGCTGTGGCTGGTTTCTTGAGAGAGGACCAAGGGGACTGTCACATCTCCGGTCCCTGCCAGAGGGAGGAAGAGTCCCCACTCCCTGCCCCCGCTCTCGCAGGGCCTCTCTCTGCCGGGACAGAGGGAGGGCAGGGGGCCTGAGCATGGCCCCCTTCCTTACTCCCCCCCACCAGCTGGAGCCACCGTGCCAGCCTTTCAGGCTGTGCCCATGTGAACAAACAGGCGGCTATGGTGACAGCTGAAGCCTGGAGACCTGAGTGCCCTGGCTCCCAGCCCACTTCTTGGCCCAGTTTAGGACTGGGGGTGGGGAAGGGAGGGGCGCCCTCCCAGGTCACTGAGGCCTGGACCACACTCCACTGCTGTGTTATGATCCTCAGAAATCACCCCTGGGGTTTCCATGTGGACAACTGAGGCCAGGGGCAGATGAGGGGAGAGGGGCCCTGGTCTGCACGGGCCCTTTGCCCTTGGGGGAAGGAGGCTGGGGCTTGATGGCATCAGCACAGCCAGGGCCTGCTGAGGATGTGGCAGGAGACTGGCTGGACGGGATTGCCAGGGCCACTGGAGGTGGCAGAGAGACTAGGCTGGGGACTGTGTGTAGAAAGGTGGGCTGGGGAGGGTGTGTAGGAAGACAGAGGGATGGGATTTGGTGGGGTCCTGGGGGAGGCAGGGCCCTTCAGATGACAGAATGATTTGGGAGCACTAAGCCACATTGGCACCTCCAGCTCAGCTCAAGGCACAGAGAGGTTAGGGGACCCACTGGAGGTTATCAGCACAGGGTCCCACCTAAGAGTTCTGCATGCTCCCTCCTCTCAGCACTGACCCTCCCACCCCAGCCACGGGGACATTTCGAATGCTGGGAAGAGAGGGCGCTCATCCTGCCCTGCACCCTCCATGCCTTCATTCACACCAGCTGCACCTTCACGTGGCCGCCACACACACCACAGGGAGATGGGTCACCAGACTCGGCTGCTTCCTGGGGGCTGGGAGTAGTGGTGGGGCCCTCACCTCAATTTCCCCACGCCACATCCTGCTGTCATAGAAATCCTGCACCCCACCAAAGTTTGTGGACTGGAGAAGAGGAGGAGGGGACAGGGTCCTGGATCTGGGGCACCCTTCTGACAAAGACCCCACCCCCGCACACTCAGCTGGCTGGAACAAGGTCCCTTCCTGACGCCAGGGTGAAGTCAGGGGAAAGCATTTGGGGACGTGGAGCTCATGGCCAGTGCCTGGGGACAGGCAACCACCAGCAGCCCCCACAGGGTGAAATCCGAGCCTGAGCAACCCCTAGGGCCAGGTTCTGCTCGGGCCAGCTCCCCTCTGGCCCTGCCCCAGCCCCCAGCACATCCTGGAGGAAGCTCAGCTGATCTGGGAGTGGGGCAAGGGGCTGGGCTGAGGTGGGTGCTGAGCCAGGAGGCTTTGAGGGGAGGGCAAGAGGGAGGAGAAGGGAGGTGCTGAGGGGAAAGCGGAGAAGTGAAAGCGGAGCGGATAGCGGGGAAGCTGGGGCGGTGCTGAGGCGCCCTGGGAGAGGGGCTGGCGAGGCTCAGGCGGTGGGAAGAGGGAGGCGCAGGGGAGGGAAGCTGGAAAGGGGTAGTGATGGAGCCGGGGCTGTGTCAGGGTGTGTGGGAGAGCGTCAGGATTTCGGGGAGGCTGGCACAAGCTCTGGGGGCTGTCAGGTTTCTGGGTGAGGTTCTTAAGACTTCTGGGCGCGGCGGGCTCGGGATGAGGGGCAACCCGAGCTGGAGGAAGGCTGTCCGCGTTCCCGAGTCCCGAGAGGGTCTCGGGATTTCTGGGGCCGAGATCTCGGGCTGAGCAGGGGTGGGAGGGGGGACTCGGCCCGGCGCGGTGGCCCCGCTCACCTGTAGACATCGGTCCAGAGGTAGGTGCCCAGCACGTACACGGCCTCCACGCGGCTTCCGTACTGCAGCCGCACCGTCCGCTCGTGCAGCATCTTCCCCGCAGCGCCCGGCCCCGCGCCCGTCCGCGCTCGTCGAGGTCCGCCGGGAGCACCTGTCGCAGGTGAGTCTGCTCCAGCAGCCCCTGACCGCCGGGGCCGGCGCTCTGACTTATCCTGCAATCGGTGGGCGGGGACTGCCCGCCCATCTCCTCTCGCAGTGGGCTGCGGGCCCGTCCGTCAAGCGTGGCCACGCCCTCCACACTCTTCCCCGCCCCACTGTGGTCCGGGTGAGGTCGGCAGTTGCCAATTTCTCCCTTGCAAGCTTGGTTTGCTCCATTCATTCAACATACTTTCAGTGGGCTCCTAGCTGCCAGGCGCCAGGACACAGGGCCAGTCTCCCCTCCAGGCGCCCCCAGTCTTGCGGGGCAAATAATGCACACGTGGAGCTGCCATAGGGCCGACGACCGGAGGTGGTTGGAGCCCAGAGGAAGTGGGTGCCCTAACCCAGCCTGGGGTCCGGGACCTGAGCCTTCTTAAAGGAGGTTTTTGCAAACTTAGGGGAAGGGAGGAGAGGGAGCCGCTTGAGCAAAGCCAGGAAGCCAGACACAGCCTGACATCCCCCTCCGCCCGCCAACAATCAGATCAGTATCACTAGAGGGAAAATGGGGAGAGGGGTGGCAGGGGGAGCCCAGCAGCCTACAGGGCCAGAATGCTAAGCCGAGGCATGGGTGGATGGGTGATGGGAGCCTTGGCATAGCTTCCTCAGCGAGGAGTGGTCAGGTGTGGAAGCAAAATGGGCCCTTCTGGCTGCCCCAGATGGAGGTGTCCCTGGGGAGGGTTGATGAAGACCCAGCTGGGGCTGCCTGAGAGAGCTGGAGAGGAGAGGATTGGTCTGACCAGTGTTTGTGGACTCAAATATTGATGTTCCAGTGGAGAGACAAGGAGGGGCCCCAGTTCTGGCCTGGGCGGCTGGGCAAAGGAGGCTGTCACTGCAGAGGTCAGCTTGTGTGTGTGGAGGCTGAGGTGTAGGACGACATCCAGTGAGGGCCCGCACCAGCCCCCACCCCACCCCAGACCCCGCCAGCTCTGAAACCAAGGCAGGGCCTGTTCAGATAATCCAGCCTTGTAGGAGTAAGTGGTCCTTGGTAGACAGGACAGGAAGTGGCGGGTGAGTGGGTGGAGGTTATAGGAAGGCCAGGGCAGGCTGGAGGGGTGCATGTTTGAGAGGGGATAGGGCTTCTGGGGGATGGGAGCCCTGGCAGGGGTTGCACCTGAATAAGAGGGTCAAGGTTGACAAGTGCCCAGAGCTGAGACACACCCCGCCCGCTGGCCCCAGTGGCCTCCTCGAGGGGCCCAAATTAGGAGAGAGTGAAGAACCCAGCCGCCCCTGGGTAGCCGGGATCTTCGAGGAATGTAGGGTGGAAGGGGAAAGGCCTGAGTTGCGCAGGGGTCATCTGCCCCCAGGGGTGCACCGACCCAGGGAGATGCTGGTAACTTGTGATGGGCCCCTGGTGGCCGCTGAGTGCATCATGCAATCGGGAGACAGCTTGAGGCTGGCCACCTGCCAAAGAAGAAAAAAACTTGTCCAGCTTGGAGCTGACTGTGAGACCCCCGTGGTGGGCTCTGGGTGGCCCCTACTGGAGTGAATTTTGAGCCCCTACTATGTGGCAGATACCGGGCATATGCCACGGTTCCCACTTTCCTGGGGATCCGAGAGCACGACACCCTCATTTCACCCCCGGGGAAACTGGGGCCCAGAGTGGGGGGAGGAAGCCTGCACCCCCACTGCGGCCGGCCGGGGCAGGTCACAGCAGGAGCAGGGCAGGGGTGACGTCAGGCAGAAGGCAGTGATTGTCAGGACAGAAGGACTAACCGCAGGCCCTTCCTGCCTTCTCTCTGCGTGCCAGGTGCTGCTCCAGCGGCCCTTTCATGTATTAGAATGAGGTCACTACACCCTCCCAGTAACCCCACCATTTCACAGATGACGAAAGTGAGCTGCAGAAAGGTTGAAGAATTTGCCCCCCGTCTCATAGCTCCCAAGAGTGGCAGAGCCAGGATAGAAACTGGTACGGTCATGGGGTGACACGGTCAAGTGCGTAAGAGCAGAGGAGGAATGTGGTCTCTTAACTGGGAGACCAGGAAACCTGACTTCGTGGAGCCTTGGACAATTCACCCTGCCATTCGGAGCCTCACCGTCCTTGTCCGTCAACGCGCTGACCTCTCAGCATAGATGGGAGGATGACATTAAGTGAGACCATGTGTGCAAAGCACTAGCACGAGTGTCTGGCACAAGGCGAGCGCTCAAGAAATTGAAACTCGTCTCCTTAAAAAATCCCACCCAGACCCGCTGACCCACGCTCGGGGCTCCTGCCCCTGGATCGGGGCCTGTGATGCTGGGCCACAGCGCCAGGTTGGTGTGACAGGGCCTCCGGGTGCCCGAGGGTTTAAAATAGCTGAAGTGGTCACAGCTGTTGGTGGATTCCGGGCCGGAGGTCTCATGCACCACGGCTGCTCCCACGGCTCCCCTGGGGCCCGGAAGAGCCATCTCATTGTGTCTTTTAGGGAATGCCAGCCAAGGGCAGGATCAGCTCAGGCCAGTTCCAGGCACTGATGGCACCTCACAGCCCAACTCTGGCTCCTGCTAGGCATGTGGCCAGAGAACCTGGGCTGGGAGGGACTCCTCGGAGCTGTTCCCCACGATGATCATTTACTGGGGGTCTCTGTGCTAGGCCTTGGGGGAGCCCAGTGAGTGACTCAGACATCTCATGGGCCTGCCTTGAGGAGACTGACAGCTTGCTGAGGGCATCATACAGGCAAGAATTTAAAAGGAAAGAAATGCATAAGTAATACCTGATCATTGTAAAAAAGATTAAAAAAACATGATCACCCCGTGAGCCTGGGACCAGAGAAGACCACTGTTAACATTTCTGAGCATGCTCTCGCAGGGCCTGCCCAGAGGCTGTCCCCTGCAGCTGTGGGTGACAGTGCTTACTGGGCCCGGAGGCTGTGCCAGGAGACGTTTTAAGGGCTTCGCAGCTCTTAGCTCATGTAATCCTCCCAACAACCCCATGAGATGGGAGCTATTATTATCCTCCACTAGACAGAGGCACCAACCGGCCTGGTGGGGAAGCCCGCATGGCCTTTGGACTTGGCAAACCTGGGGTGGAGTCCCGCTCTGCCCCTCACTAGCTGGGTGCCTCTCTGGGCCTCAGCCTCTTCCTCTGTATGGGGGATCCAGGGGTACCCAGCCCATGGGGTTGTAAGGAGGAATGCAATGACGCACAGTAAAATGCTTGGCATACCAGGGCCCGGCACAGATGCCAGTCCCGGTAGACGGTAGTTATTTCCTACACAGGTACACAGTCATGCGCTGCATAATGACGTTTCAGTCAACAAGGGACCGCAAATACAATGGTGGTCCCATGAGATCAGTACCACAAATCCCAGGTGTGTAGTTGGCGAGAGCATCTAGAATTGTGTAAGAACACTCTGTGATGTTCGCGACAAAAATCACCGAATGACGCACGTCTCAGAACATATCCATATTGTGAAGAGGTGCATGACTGTAGTTATTTTGAGTTTTTGTAAAAACAAGTTTCTGACTGTACCTGCTATTTCATAACACACTTTGAAAACCCTCTACGATGTGTCGTAAGTGTGCCTTCCTAGGGGGCATAATCATCCCCTTCATTGTCCAGAACTTCAGAGCTTGCAAATCAAAATAAGGTTCCAATTAGCCAAGGAGGCTCAGAGAGGGGAAGTGGTTGGTACAAGGTGACCCAGTCAGACAGCAAAGGGAAGAACCCAGGGCGGCGAGTGGCCGGTCTTTAGTGAGCGCCACTGTGTGCCAGGCTGTACCACACACCAGGCGGTCTGAGCCGTGGAAACAAGCAGCCACAGCACAATTGTGGCCATTCTTGGGAGGGGGAGGGCAGGAGCACCATGAGGTCCCCTAGAGCCACCCAAGCAGATGGCTGTGTCTGAGGACCTCCTGCACAGAAGTTCTAGAGGGGCCGCTGAGCCAGGGCCTGGGGGCTCAGAGGAGGGGAGCAGGGCTGCCATGTAGAAGGAAGGGAGGGAGTCGGGTGTCTGAGGTGTGACCCGAGGGTGAGCTGGACATGGGGAAGGGGATGGGAGAAGGGTGTTCTGGCAGAGGGAAGTGCATATGTGGGGGCCTGGTGAGTCCATCCGGCCAGGGATGAAGAGAAGTGGGAGGAGCTGGCCCAGCCATGGCCATGTCACATAGGGCCTTGTAAGTCGTGCGAAGGACTTTTGGCTTTATCCTAAGGTCACAGGAAAGCCTCGGAAGGACCTCGAAAGGTGGCAATGACCGAGGCGTGCTTTAGGAAAATCACACGGCTGCCATGGGGAGCCGAATTCAATGGGTATTCTGACAGGAGGCCAGGGTGCGGAGGTGATGGGGGCCCAGGCCATCCGTTCCCAAGGCAGCTCCTCTGTGCCGGGACCTCCCCACCCTCTGACTCTGCAACCCCGGCACCCCAGCAGCCGCCCTCGAGAGCAGCTGCCTACACCCTGGCCTTTCCTTGCTCCCTCACATTCCCTTTCCTCCAGCCAAGCCCGCCCTCTGATCCCACCCCCACAGAGGGGTCTCTGGTCAGCTGGTGATGGAGGGGCTCTGGGGCTGGGGCATTAATTCCACCTCCACCTCAGCCCTCAGTCCCGCAAGACGTTTCACTTCATGGCGGGAAAGTGTGGGATGTTGCATTCATGTGGTGGCTTGAGCAAAGTTATCCAACCTTTAACCACAGGTATTCAGAACGAGGATGCTGTGTCCTGCTGTCTGCTCACCTTCCAAAGCCCTCCAGGGCTTCCATCACCTCTGGAAATGGATAGAGAGAGAGAGGGAGATTTCAAGGAATTGCTTCATGTGATTGTGTGGGCCAACTAGAAAGTCGGAAAGAGTTGACGTTGCAATCTTGAGTCTGAAATCTGCAGGATGGAAGCTCAGGCAGAGTTTCCATGTTGTAATCTTGAAGCCAAATTGCTTCTTCTTCAGGAAACCTCAATCTTTGCTCTTAAGGCCTTCAACTGAT